TGTAAGATCAAGTCAAGTTTCGCTGACTAATGCACATTCGCTCATTTGTATAAACAGGGTGGTGTGGGCGGTGCTGATATTGGCAGCGGTCGTGTTGACCGATGCAGCGGTACCAGATCCACCGGAAAATTCTGGCATCACCACGGTCGGCTCCAAAAAATTGGCAACCGCCGCCGATTGCGCCGGACTTGTCGCTTTCTCTGGCATCCAAGGATCAGTGAATGTGAGTACAATAGCGTAATTAAATAACCTCTAAATTAAAGTAAAAGGAATATATCTGCGAACTAAGATACAATTATTATAATTTATTTGTTCAAGATTGCGAATGCCCGAGATCACGAATGTTCTTGAATATATTATTATTCCTTAATTTATCGATAGTGTCATTAGTCATGATGCGAGATATAACACGATATTTATCAAGAGGATCGCATATCAGTTTCACGTTCACGTCTTCATAACTGGCCACCGACATCTTCGTCATTTTATTTCGCGAAGTCTTAATCTATTATTTTATATGACTTATTGCTAAGGGCTCTTTGGTTGTTTTTTTTTTAATTTTATTAATTTTATTAATTTTAATAAAAATAGAAGAATTTTGACGATAGACAGAGAAAACTGATCTGATTTTTTTTATAATTCTAAATTTGATAATTTTCGTGCACTTAGAAAATATTGTAATGTACGTGTAAATGTATACAGGAAGCTAAGCTCGTCCTTGCCCAGACACTAGTGGACAAAGGAGTCGGTTACGCGGCGGAAACCGGGATCTTCACCACGCATTGTCCAGGCCTCTACCAATTCAGCTTCGCCGGATACGGTAGCACGGATCTGCGGCTGACACTGAAACGCAAACTGAACAAATCCGACAGTTGGAGACCGATTATCAGCGCCGGTCCAGGCGGAGGGAGCAATCTCGTTCTGTTGGACGTCGAAGCCGGCGACCAACTTGCCGTCTTCGTTGAATCCGGGAAGATTACCGATGGAGCCAGTTTTACTGGTCACCGCGTTTATAAAAGATAAGCTGGACCATTAAACAACAATCTTGGGCGAATTCAGGACCACCATTCAGGGAAACAAAATTGAAATTATAAACTAAAACTGAATCTAGAAAGATTCTTGATTATCAAGTTGAAATATTTAATCAAAAATTTCGAATTACCCATTTTTAGTTTAAAAAAGATAACAAGAAAAAGTTTAACAAGAAACAATTGTAAAAATTTGTTGGATTTTATGATTCATCTTTTATCTTTTGGTTAGTAACAATTTAATTATATTTTTTAAAATCATCACATATTACCCGATTGAAATTATAAGATTCTAAAACATGATGTCATGCTCTTAGACCGAGAAATCGCCAGATTGTCATTAAATGCATTTAAAAGTATATATATAAAAAAGAAAAAAGGATTAAAACGCTTTTGCAAAATCCTAGATTTTTTTCTACAAACGAGAGCTTTCTTGTGTGCTGAAACAGAGTTCCTAATTCGTAGTTCTAAAACTTCTCAATGGATTTAACATTCTGTGATAGCTATTTTCACTTGTCTAAAATTTCATTGATTTTATAATTTCTTTAAAATGATAAAATATCTATAATTATTTCGTAAACTAACACGAATGTCTCCAGTTTCTAGCTTCCGCTTCGCATTTCTTTCGGTTCGCTTTCTAACATTTTTTTTGTTTACATTTTGTTTACTACTTTCACCTCGTCTCTTGATTCGTTTTTCTTGATATTTTATCGCTTCCTTATTTTCTTCGCTACGATTAAGAAACAACTTTCTCCATTCAAAATTTACACGTTCCTCTTTCTCCATATTTCTTTGATTTATGTTTCTAGTACTGTCTAAGCTTTATAATTTCCTCTATTCGCTATCTTTCTTTTTCTTAGTTATTTCTACTCGGTTTGCCTCTACCTCTTTGCCTCTACCTCTACCTTCTTCGTCTTTTATTATCATTTCTTTATTTCTATTAAAATTTCTATATTTCTATTTCATATATTGCTTCCTTATCTATCTCTTTCGCTCTTTCTTCTTTTATTTCCTTTATTTCTGTCGATATTATGCTTTTAGTCTGTCAAGCTTCAGCTCTTTTACTTCGGTATATTACACGTTTATTATCTTTAGAAACATACTATCTTTCTTCTTATTATCTTCTTGCAGTGTCTTGACTTATCTTTTCTCTTTCATTTCTTCATTGAAATTTTCTTTACGCTTTATCGACAATTTCTACTTTTATTATTTCCTTTTATTTCAGTGTCATTGATTTCTCTTTTAAACTTATCTTCTCGTTTATTAGTTCCTTCATTTTTTTTCTAGTCTTCTTTCTCTAAAAAAAAATAAACATATTATCGTTCTTTCTGAATTTTCTTCACCTTGTTCTCCCGTCTTTTCATTTTTATCATTATAATTTGAATATATCGTTTCCTTTTATTTTCAATTCTGTTTTCAATCTAGTTTATATACATTGGTTAATTGCTCTATCTCTCTTTTCGTCTTTATCTATCTGTCTATCTATCTATACATCCAGCTATCAATCTATCTATCAATCTATCTATCTATTTATCTATCTCTTGTATTTTCTATACTGTAAATATACATAATTGCCTGCTATCACAGCAGTTACGTCTGAGAGAAGACCTGTGAAATTGGCAAAAAAACAAAAAAAGAGAAGAGAGAGATTGCGGCAATAAAACAGAAGGATTACCGATTAATTAAACTCATTAGGCAAGAGAGAACACGCGCGCGCGCGCAACTGCGACGAACAGTGCAAATTATTTTTCTATAATTTTATTAAATGTATCAATATAAGAAATGTTAACGCGATGAATAATAAAGTTGTGCACGTATTTCTTATCACCAACAAAATTTCGTTAAAAGTCAATCATATTCTAATACCCGAATAATAAGTCGGCATCACATACAAATTTCTTTGGAAGGAACATGAGGAGCTTTCTATAACACAATCAAATATGTAGTTCGACTTTTCCACTTTCTAATCCCTTGTAATTTTTGAGAATGGGATACACCTCTTCTTCGAGGAACTCGACAACTTGTTGCGGCGCCCTGCCGACGAAGGTTGACGGGTTCAACAGAGCATCTAATTGTGGCAAAATCGGCGCGAAATACGGATCTCTCCTGATCCTGTCAACCAGGTCGTTATCCAAACCGTGTTGTTTAACCTGCTCTGCGGCTTCTTGCGACAATACGCGGATTTTCTCGTGGCAATCCTAAAGCAAATATATTAAAGTATATATGCAACATTAATTATCTATAATATTCCTTAAAATATTAAAGTCACAAAGAATTACGTCAAATATACGATTGATTATAAAATCAACTGAAAATCAAAATTTCACATTTTGATTGATTGAAATCAGTTATTCATAATTCAATATTCATTGACTAGATATTCTCGATTTAAATAAATAATAAAAATTATTCTCCAAAAATATCTAATAAAGTGCATTTCACACCTGTCTATCGCCACCAGTCTTCACCATAGCCATGATCACATTCTCCGTCGACATGAAAGGCAACTCCTGTGCCACATGCCTGGCGATGACCTTGGGATAAACGACTAATCCCTCCGTAATATTCTGGAGAGTCATCAGGATCGTGTCGGCCGACAGGTAGGCTTCCGCCAGGGCGAGTCGGCGATTCGCCGAGTCGTCCAACGTTCGTTCCATCCACTGGACCGCCGCGGTATGGAGGACGTCGTTCACGAGAACCATCAGGTGACGTGCCACGCTGCAACATCTCTCGGAGCGCATCGGATTTCGCTTGTAGGGCATCGCGCTGGAGCCTATCTGTGTACTCTCGAAGGGCTCCTCGATCTCCTTCATGTTAGCGAGAAGACGAAGATCCGTGCAAATCTAGGGAAATTAGAAAGGGAAAAATTAATTCAAGACCGTGATTTCTTCGCAGTGGAAGAAATAGATGTTTAAATATGAGTCCCATTAAAACCGCCACGGTTATATATTGGCACGGATGCAATCAATTCGGGCTCACCTTGTGAACGCTCGCGCCGAGTGAGCTCAAAACGTTCAAACATTCGATGTCAACTTTCCTGCTGTAGGTCTGTCCGGTGACGGCGTAGTACTTCTCGAAACCGGCCATCTTAGTCACGAGAGCATCCAATTGCTTCACCTTTTTCTCATCGCCTATTGATGTAATGAAATTTGAAAATTACACATCACCTACACGCCTGTTACATTTACTTTTTACAATTTCTAGACATCTAATCGTAATTATTTTTCTAGGAGCTAATAAATCGTTCTTTAATGAAGATAATCTAAAAAATCATCTCAATATCATGTTTCACAAACTATTTTTTCCTAAAAATCAAAGGGTTACAGAAAGGCTAAACGGACCGACCGTTAAAGAGCTGAAGGAAAGACGCTTGGGTGCCGGTAGTGCCTTTAACGCCGCGGAATTTCAGATCGTTCCTGGCGCGACGGATAGCTCTCTCGTCCATCACCAAGTCCTGCAGCCATAGCGTCGCTCTTTTGCCGACCGTCGTCAGTTGCGCGGGCTGAAGATGAGTGAAGCCCAAAGTGGGCAGACTGCGATACTCGTGAGCGAATTTCGCGAGGCGCTGGATTACGCTGGCTAGCTTCGGAAGCAATATGTCGAAACCTTGGCGGAGCAGCAGGAGGTCCTTCAAGAAAAGATAACGTTAACAAATTAGATAACTACCAATTAGTTGAGCGAAAACACATGGAAAGGTGTGGCAATCGGTTATCAGTAATTAAAAATATAATTATATCTTGCTAGCAAGATAAATGAAGAAGAATATTTTTATGACAGAGTTAACGGGACGTGTACCGTGTTATCGCCCACATAACAGCTGGTCGCACCAAGATGGATGATGGGCGCAGCCAGGGGACACTGTTTGCCGAATACGTGAACGTGGGCCATCACATCGTGCCTCGTCAACCTTTCCTCCTTGGCGGCGGCTTCGAAGTCGATGTCGTCCACGTGTGCCTCCATTTCGGCGATTTGCTCCGGCTTGATCGCCAGGCCGAGCTCCTGAAAAATCGTCGATAAACATTTCTAGGTGACACCGTCTAGAAATCCGCTATTGCGAAAATGAAGAAGTACAACGTGATAATTTTACGATGCGTCCAGTTGAAATTATCATTTAGATAAGATTTAGATCGCGCATGTGCAGCTGTCCTCTACGATTCTTATCCCCTTTTCAACGTACTCTCCCGTATCATCTGATTAGATAAGGAGGGCTTGGTTCCGCTTCGGAATCATCAAAACCTCGGCGCAAGTTTCATTTTGTTACGTGCGTTTTCACGGCGAGAGGAAGGTGCCGAGAAGTCTGCAAGCATGGTTTCCCTGCAGACTATTGCGAGTATAGTGATCAAAGTGCTAAAGTTGGTGAGAAGATTTTGGTTTTCGTATATCGTAATCGTGAAAAGTGTATATCTAACAGAAAAAAAGGGAGAAAGAAAATTTCGATAGAGTATCCCATAACGAGACGATATCTTCTTATCAATTCTGACAAATTCTTGATTTGAAATAAAAACCCAGTGTATAAAATTTTGAACAATTCAAAATATAGGAATTTTCAGTAATTAATTTGTAAATAAATAATATCATCTTTTTTCTTTATTTAATTTTAAACGGCTATTTTTTAACAAGATTTTATCTCGAGATTTATTTGCAGGCATTCTTTGAATTGTTAATCGGATATTCACCAATACAAAAAACTTATCAAATTGAGCAATCTACAAGTTTCGACGAGCTTCACGATCAATTTGATAAATTTCTTCTTCACTATGTAAAGTGTAAAAGCGGGTATTTTTGTCTTGTGATATGACATACGCAGAGATAAAATAGTCTGAGATTAAAACCTCGGGTCCAATTAAATATCGAAAAGAATAAAAATGCTAACAAGGTAATAAAACTTCGGCACGGGAAACGTAGTTTCAATGTGACGCATGTCGTAAATTGTTTAATTAACGCGGTCAATGTATTCGATTAATCATAAAAAGGCGTAGACTGAAAAAGATCATCGTACACTCATTCAAGGGACATTCTTACGAGACGTATGAATCATTCTATTGCCCTTATCGGCGTGCGATAACGCATGTTGTTTAGCAAGCGATACGCTACGTTGCCGTCGTTTTTAGTGCGTGGAACTACAGAGTGTCCCAGAAAATATATAGCGATAATAAGATTCTATCACATCTTGAGACAATTTTTTCCTTCGATTAATTCTTCCATAAAATTTTAAATTTTTGACATCAATCTTTTGGGGGGGGGGGGCCATAAAATAAGAGTTTCTTGTTCACATAAATATAAAACTACGGTTACTTAAAAAATGAGTTTTTATCACTCACATATCTTCCTAAAACTTAGTTTCCCTAGACTTTTATTCGTTTCTAACGTTTCAAAACATTTCTGGCTATATAATTAGAAAAGTAAGTTTATTTTAAACTTGGACAATATTGCTTCACTATCATTACATAAGTTTCTGGGACATACCACACACTTGTAAATACCCAAGCAAGATTAACACTATTAACAGCAGAATATTGCGGCAGATTGGCACCAACTGGGTTCGCATTAAGCTCATATTCTGCCAGCGAAGAGTACCAACATAATCTAGCAGCAAATGCCAGCAGAATCTGTCATTTCGTAATCATTGAAATAATATTCGATTTTATTTATGAATAAAAATGGCAGATTCTATTCGATTTCTGCAGTTAATCTGTTCACATTCTATTATAGCATATTCTGTTACATTTTTCCTAACAGTCTATTAATACAATTTGCAGCAGATGTTTACGACAAACCTCTGGCTATCTGTGTATATATTTTGAAAATTCGTCTATTTGCCGCAGGTTATCAACCTCATCATCATCATCCTGTACCGTACAGGATACGGCGGTGAGTTTCTAGGCGTAGGTGGAACTTGGAACTTGAACGAGGACAAGAATCCCGATGCCGAGATTGTCGCTTCCGGCGTATTCGTCGGGTTTTTCATCTACACGAGCGTCGTCCTCATCAGCTACTGTTTTGGCAATACCGACCATAAAAAGACTCTAGTTGTAAGTGTTTTGCTCTTTTCACTTGACTGAGGATGCGACGGATTTCGATTGAATAGTTCATGTTAAATATAGTGTAAACGAAGTATTGTATCATATATCGCACATCAATTCCAAAGATTTAAATGGCATTTTTTATAAGACATATCAGAAGCAGCGTATCTTTTCACAATTTATAGACTTTCTGATAAATATCGAATGTACATTTTTTTTCTTTATCCAAAGGTAGTGTTACATCGTGCAAAATTGTGTGAAAGTTCAACAATCTTAAACAATTTTGAAACAATTTAATCAAAACGTGTCATCTTCATTACAGGAAATCATCATGAATTTCGTCGGGACTTTCATGTTTGTTGCCGTGGGCGGAACGGCCCTTCATTACTGGCATGGTTATCAACCTGAGCAGAAATTCGTATATGATGCGCCAGAGAGGCAGGTAAGTCGAATTAACTTATAAGGTAAAATTATTTTTAAAAAATGACTGAAAAGTTAAAAGCTGTTGGCGTAAATTTCCAGATAGTTATTATAATAAACATCCGTTTTATTAGAAAAACAAATTTGCTGAAATCTGTCTTACGAAATACGTTTACCATTTTATTTCTCCACTAAAATCAGCGACCAACTGCGTCGTATTAAACCGCAAAAATTCTGTAATTCCAGATTGGCTTGGCTGTGGGCTCGTTGTGCGTTTTAGAAGGCGCAGCGTACCTGATGGACTTAATATTAAGTTTCCTCCATTACGCTAAGGATGAATTTCAATAAAAGGGAAAGTATTGCGAGATAAACATCGTTTTAATAGCGACAATATTTTACGAAAAACTTCCGTTTCATTCCCATCAACTCATGTTACAATATACTAGCAATATACGCTAAGAAGTAGAAGTTTTCATGTATTAAAACTCTATTACGATTAAATTCGATTATGTCTCTGGGTATATTGTTAGTCACGTTTCTGTACGGAGGTTTCTCTCTTCGCGGAAAACGCAAGTAACCTTGTCCTTCTTCGAGGAGAGACAAAGTTTCCCCATTATGCGTTTTTATACATATTTATTCATACAGACATATACTTCCCATTGAAAATACATGTAACGTATACGAAATAAAGTTTATTACAAAATTTGTAATAAAACGGCTTAAAATACATTTTTTCGTGCATGTTTAAATCTTCGTTACAGCAATATTCCTCAATTATTATTATTTATATTTTATAAATAAACATTTTTAGAGACTTTTTTTAAGGTAGCATTTTTAGGTATCTTCGCGTTGCGACGCCTATGAAAATTTGTTTCTCCTTGACATGTCTGTTACATTTTTCCGCGTTTAACGACCGATAATACATATCGGGCGATTATTATGCGTGTGCCCTCCTTTATTTAACGAGGCTCAATTGTGGAAACGAAAGAAATGCGGAGGAAGAAACGTAGACAGTGTGACGAAAAATATGACTCACGCCCTTTTCGAGGCAAACACAGCTCCGTAACGTTCCACCGGATGATTTCATCTAGGGCCCTTTAAGATCCCGTCGTGTGTACCAATTAATCTACTTGACCTGGCGATCGTCGCGGATGACCGGCGCGATTACACACCCACCCACGAGCCGGGCACGTAATCACGTTAATTACGGAGGTCACGCCTAATTTAACTAAGTTGTAAACCTAGTATATAACAGGATAAATATCCCTTGAATAAGAATAAGCTACTTACTGAGAGGAAAGAAAAGGCTGAAAATTAACTAAGATCTTAAATTTAAATATCTTATTCCTTTATTCTTATTTTATTATTCGAAATTGCATTCCACATAATTGCATAATCGAAGGTAATACTCTGTTCATTTACTAGGTAGAATTTGAAAAAAACCTCTTTTCGTTTAAAGAATTTTATAGAATTTTTAACACCCCAAAACAAAGCTTTTAAGATCATTTAAACTTTTTTTTCATAAAATATGACTTCAAGAATCAACTCCTACAATATTGGACAGTATTTAAAAAACAATCTGTTAAGTATGCAATACAGAACTTCAGAATTGAATTTGTTAGAGTTTTTCTGCTATCCTGCAAATCTTCAATAACACTACTATCGCGTAATTAACTTGCATTATTTTCATTACTAAAGACGGAATAAAAGACAATTAAATCTAAAGACATAAGCATGTCTATAGACGATCTTCCGTCTCTTCCGGTTTACGTATCCCATGCCATTGTAAGTCTGAAGACTCTAAAGTAGTCTAAAGAACAAGTCAATACGATAAAAAAAAAACTGACGTTATGCGTATTGTCGGCAGATAAATTACTACTTCAGCATTTGTATGCCCGTCGAAAAGTAACCGTGCAATCGCATACGCTTCGTAAATGTTTCATTGAGGACGAGTTGACATAGATACCCAGTAATCGCGATGTATGGAAAGTCAGAGATTGCAGCTCGTCGTGCAACATTCTACCATGGATCGATACCACGACGATTCGTTTCTGGCAATGTTGGCTAAAGTGAGTATACCCTGCAAAAGCTACAAGTTGAAGTCGTATATACTCTTTTGTAATAACCTTCTTTTTATAGACAACGCAAATACCGAGAAGCGAAAAAGAAGCTAATTTTGCGGAAATGTGCGGGTTGGTTTCAATTTTAGATAAAGAGTACATTAATTTACATTAATCAATTAATTCTAAATTAATTTATAAATTATTTAAAACTTTCCTTTAACGTTTCGTCTTTATTAGCGCGTGTAACAATTCTTGAGAAATTAATTTTTCATACGCAACACGCTGATAAAACATGACGAAATGATGCATTGATACACAATTGCTTAGATATATTCGTTAATTCGAATTAATTGAAGTTCGATGTAATTAAAAACCATAACATTAACGTTTTCCAATCATTGACGTTCCAGTCGTATTTCATGGAGATTCTACTTGTCGCGCTCCGAATAAAGAGTCTAATCAATTACAGTGCAGCAAAATGTTCTAGTAATCCGGAATGTTTGGTAATCACGCGAGGTAAAAATAACTGCGTCGCCATAATTATGCGAAGCAGCAATAAGCGCGCGTTCGCGTGTAATGCGATAGCGAGGTGAGCCTTTTCGATACGCACGCCAGGCAGGCAGGCAGCCCGCAGAATTACGTGTGTCCTTGCACCGCTGCAACGTCAAAATATAACGTCATGAAATAGGATCGAGTGCGTTTCCAGCGAAGGAAGTCGCTCTCGCGGAAATTCATTGTGAATTTTATAGCTCGCGCTGCGTATTTGTTATCGCGTGCAACTGCGTTTCGATATAGTAACATGAGTATGGTCAGTTAAAAAATGGACGGCAAAGCTGAATCGTTAAAAATCGAGAGTACTAACACGAAGAATATATTCCGAAAATTGAAAGAAAAAGAATAAAAAGATTGTTTAAATAACGAGCGATTATTTCACGCTCTGTTTCTACCAGCTTCAGTCTGGAACTCCCTAATGTTTCGTTAAAAATCAATTGTTATACGAATTTTATACGAATTAAAGAGCCTATTTATGATTAAATCACTACAGGAAGCTGGAGCGAAAATTTCTCAATGAGCGCCTGACTTACAACGCATCGTCATTACGCACGTTCAATCGATGACGTAACAGGGCGTGCACGAGAAGAAGAAAATACTTGGCGCGCGCCCGTGACACATCGGCGGTATACGGAACAAATATTTTAGGCAGGCAAAAACGCGGCCGGAAATCTGGCGATGTGGAACGCTACCATGCGTGAAGGAGCCCCGACCTCCTTGCGTTTCCTTTGCCAAATAACGTCTTAGAGAGGTGTGACATTTTTTTTTTAAATCTATTTAAGAAAGCCCGGCGCCGATACCAAGTTGGGAAAAGAGAAAGGGCCCGGTCGCGACAGCGCAACGCGACAACATTTTTACCGAAAGTTAGTTGGTGATCTTCGGCGCGAGACGAGCGAAAGCTAACAGCGTCGCTGGCTAGGGCCTAGTAGTATCGGAAACGTCGATTCCATCGGCGGCGACCGCACGCCCAAGGCGCGTACGACCTGCTCGTAAGCGTGGGACTCGATCGTAACGCCGATGTACTTCGCCTGCGCGCGCGCGGGGAGTCGTAAAGCTATCGTAAAGTGTCGCGTATATTCGCCGTACGTTCTCCGCGTTTCAGTCCGAGCTGCACCGCTGCACGACGCGGGCACGGCACGTTCCCTCTTCCTCCAACGACTACGACGCACGCGTCGCGACGCGCACCGATCCGCGCGCGTTATTAAACCTCGCGCTTCTCCGGCGATCGGCCGCGTGCGGTGAAGAGTGAAGAGTGAAGAGTGAAGTCTCTGGACTTGGAAGTATAGAAGATAACAGAGAAAGAAAATAGAACGCGACGCATTCCTGACGGTCCAAGACTTCGTTTGACGCAGCTCGACTCGTGTTTCTCGTGTAGCAGACACTCGAAGTGAAATCGCGGGTATCGCTCTGGCGAGGCGATAGGAGGTGACGGTACACGTGGACGGAGCGCGTGTCAGGTGAATCAATGGACGGAGTATTTGTTATTCAGCGTACTCTCTGCGCGCGGTCTGAGGCCCATTTAGATACAACGAGTTTTCAGCCGCGGAGGCCACGACTCGTGACGTAACTCCGTATTCATTCCCATAAAAAAAAAGGAAAAAATTAGACGAGTGGAATCCATTTTCCGAAGTTACGAAACACGTCGTAGAGGAATGCGCCGTATTAATGCCGCACTTTGTTCCTCTACGAACTATTATACACCTGAAATATATGTAAAGCTGATTTATCTTTATCGCGCTTAATTACTTATTTTATGCTATATGTTAATGTTCGTTTTTGCGACACTCCCCAAGTGTCGAGGAGTGTCATTACTTTTTATTACTATTACTTCAATTACTATAAATACTTTACATTTAATTACTCTAACGCCTTAATTTAATTAACTTATTTTAATATCCTACCGGAATCATTTAGTGCCAGATATCGCGATATTCAGCGATTTGCGATTTTAATATAATTTACGACGCATTTCGCCAAGGAAAATCGACCTGGAATGGACGGAAAACACAATGAAATATCTTATCGCGCAAATAATCCGTGCTATAGTCTTTTGCGTCGTATACACCGCGCCTTCGACCCTCCGATTTACGTGCGGCTCCCCTAAGGACGATGTCTATCGCGCATTTCTCGTTTTAGGGTCGCTAAGACCGAGGGGTAGAGTTGGCACGCACAGGGAAGAAAGAATCGATCGTCATCAAATCGAACTGAAAAATCCTTCAAACTGGGCGACGGAAGAGGAAAACATCGAAGGGTAAGAATGGCGGACGAACCGCAGCAAAGTCAGCAGCCGACTACCAAAAGACACAAGATTCTAAGTCATCTACCCATCGCCCTTAAAGTGCTCGAAGTGGTGAGTACCTTTTTAATTTAATTCGAATAGAGAGTAGCATAGATTATATACTGTTAAAGTATTAAAGGATAAAATTTAAATATCTTGAGTTAAATAACATTTTGTTATTTTTAAATGCCGTGTCGAAATTTATTGTTCTAAACAGTATTATTTTAAATATTGGAGTATTAGGAGCAGCGGCGACTTATAAAAATGATTAAAAATTATTCAAATTGACACTACGAATTTAACAGTGCAGCGCGCTTCGTATCCCGTTGTTGAAATTTTCGCGCGAAACTTCGATAAATACGATAAAGTATCGATTTAACTGGCGGGAATCGCAATTTTCATTGAGGTTTCCGTGTTTTAATTCTTGATTTCTTGGTTCATATCTCGACTCTTGATCTACATAACACGACGACGTATTTTCCTTCTCATTCGTCATGCATCACTCGTCCTATATTATTCTTCATTATTTCGATCGCCGTCCAACGTAGATAGCTGTTCCAAACACTTTTTCTTACGTTTTAATACGTTTCAATGCAGATACTGGCCATTTTTGCGATCGGTCTGGCGGTGGACCCAATGAACTCGTTCCAGCGCGTTTTCAACAGGCCGCGATTCAAGCTGGACGACGCAGCTACGATCTACGTCACGGTCGCCGGCTATATTCTCATCAATGCGCTCTTCATCATCAGCCACATGCTGGGCGATCGCGTGCCGAAACGAACGGTAATGCCTCTCCTCTATGAAACATAACTCCTCATTACAATTTAAGTAACAACTTTAAACTTCTGCGCCTCGCCCTTGTGGCGCATTTGCCATCCGCGGCCTCCTCGCAAAGAAGAAACTTGAGTTTATACCGATTTATACTCCCCGCATCCTCGTGCATGCGATGAGGTATAAGAGTAAAAGACTATAAGATGATTCCAAGGATGATCTTTACAATTCTAAATATTTCAGCATTTTTTATTAGGAGAGCAGAGATCGATTTCGAATTAATTGTGCGAAATTTCCGTAGATGAGATTTGAAAATGATTCAATTCAACATTCGCTCCGCACACGTCGAATTTTCTTTCCTTTATAAAGAATAATTTTCAAAAAATAAATATCCACGAGGAAAATA